AGCCCTAACACTATTCTTATATTCTCTTCTCCTTCTCCCCTAGTAAAGCCCTAACACAATTCTTATATTCTCTTCTCCCCTAGTAAAACCCTAGCACAATTCTTACATTCTCTTCTCCTTCTCCCCTAGTAAAGCCCAAACACTATTCTTATATTCTCTTCTCCTTCTCCCCTACTAAAGCCCTAACACTATACTTATATTCTCTTCTCCCCTAGTAAATCCCTAACACTATTTTTATATTCTCTTCTCCTTCTCCCCTAGTAAAGCCCTAACACAATTCTCATATTCTCTTCTCATTATCTCCTAGTAAAGTCCTAACATTATTCTTATATTCTCTTCTCCTTCTCCCCTAGTAAAGCAATAACATTATTCGTATATCCTGTTCTCCTTCTCCCCTAGTAAAGCCCTAACACAATTCTTATATTCTCTTCTCATTCTCCCCTAGTAAAGCCCTAACACTATTCTTACATTCTCTTCTCCTTCTCCCCTAGTAAAACCCTAACACTATTCTTATATTCTCTTCTCTTTCTCCCCTAGTAAAGCCCTAACACTATTCTTATATTCTCTTCTCATTATCTCCTAGTAAAGTCCTAACATTATTCTTATATTCTATTTTCCTTCTCCCCTAGTAAAGCCCTAACACTATTCTTAAATTCTCTTCTCCTTCTACCCTAGTAAAGCCCTTACACTATTCTTATATTCTCTTCTCATTATCTCCTAGTTATACTAAAGTCCCAAAACATGGATTTCTCCTCCGTCTTCGTTTAAGTGAGAGATACAATTCTTACTGTTCCGTACATTTTGTATACTAAACGTACTGGTGAAATGAAGCATTTCTAACTGTCTGATCATGAATTAAGGATTTATCATAGAAATCACTTATTCTTCAATCCTTTTTTTGCCATGTCGCAAAATTTGCGTAAAATCTCATATTTTTACGGATTGTTTCTCATTATTCCCCCCTCTCTAGTTCTGTGTTGGGCTTCAGGTTTCCGTTCAATATCTATTACATGTCTAAGAGGAGAAGGATTAACACCCTGTCCCCTGTGAAATATAATCCGGGAGAAATCCTTCAAGACGAATTTTAATGTTTGGTGAAGGAGGATTAAACGAGGCTATTTCATTTTAAAGGGATTGTTGACAGTTTTTATTTTGAGATCATTGACAACTTATGTTATCATTTTGATAAAAAATGTCTGATTTCATGAAGAATTTTGTTTTAAGAATTCATAGATTTGAGGGGAGGAGTGGGTTGAGAATAATTCTGATAATGGCTATATTTACCCCTTCAAAGATTGTTAAATCAAGTGACGTGAAGAACAAAAAGCTAAAAATATTTATTAGATCAATCCTAGAATTAGTANTATTTAGTTTTACCAAAATACTATCCAAATTTTAGCTGATGTTTTATCTGAAAATATTTTAGCTGATGTTTTATCTGAAAATATTTTAGTTGATGTTTTATCTGAAAATATTTTAGTTGATGTTTTATCTGAAAATATTTTAGTTGATGTTTTATCTGAAAATATTTTAGCTGATGTTTTATCTGAAAATATTTTAGCTGATGTTTTATCTGAAAATATTTTAGTTGATTCCGCGAGCTATTCTATTCTTCACTGGTGATGCTTGTGAGGACGATGATGAATTCGAGGTAATAGATTATATCATTAATAATCAAATCTTAAATGTAACTGCTGCCCTATAGCCATGGTATTGGTAAATGTATATTTTTATTCTTGGCGTCTCCTTCTGTTGTAATATTAGAATCTCCAATTCTCCGTCAAAAAGATTTCAATCATTCCAAATACCCCAACTGCTCATTATTTTTTTAATCCGATTTATTTTCGTTATCAAACCCTTTTTTTTCTCTAAGAGTCCTCTAATTAAATATCCGCATGCAATTTTGATTAGATTTGTTACGGTTTTATAACATTTGTTTATGTAATGATTCCAAAATAATAAAACTGCAGATTGAAGATTCAAATAAAAAAATTAGCTTTTTTCTTGCATATCTGATGAGAAACCAAATTATGAAAAATGCGTGCTACATAAAATTTTGCTGTTCTTTATTTAGTTAATTATGAAAGTAGGATTTCTTAGATTCACAAGAAAGGTACTGTAGTGACCTTCCATTGTAAGAGGGACATGCCCGATTCACAACTGTACCCTTGAAACCTTAATCTGATAATATCGTTATTATACTAAATTCTGTTAATTTCTTCATTGTTTCTGAAGTAAGAAATGCGCTATTCATCAAATGAATATCATTAGGCGCTATTCATGTTTGTTTTATGTGCAACGTTGTGAATCAGAACTCTCAGTCAAACCAGTTAAAATTACGTTTACGGTCCCTTAAGCTTCACTCAACCTTAATCCCTAATAAGAGCTAGGATGTAAATTATGCATGAAACACTTTAGTGCATCATCATTAGTACGGTCTCAATGTGAGACATCACTTTAAAATCCAGTGCTTAGGATAGATCCGGATCTAAATATAAACTAAAAACTGCATAAAAATCTTTTGCTCTCAAAATTCAAATCTGACCTATTGAAAAAACGGAGATTATCAAAAATGTCCTTAGAAAGATTATCAAAAATGTCCTTAGAGAGGTTATCAAAAATGTCCTTAGAGAGGTTATCAAAAATGTCCTTAGAGAGGTTATCAAAAATGTCCTAAGAGAGATTATTAAAAATGTCCTTATCTCTGAATAGTTCATGAAGTTGCAAAAACAAAATAAGTGGAAAAAGTAAGAAAAATAAATAAAATTCTTTTTCTGTTCAAAAAAATCAGTTAATCTTAAATTTTCAGAACTTGGACCCTGATCCAGATTTGGATCAGGTTGAACCATTTTTTCTAGTGCGGATGAAATGGATCCTAAGCACTGTTTTTAACCCTCATGAGTGCATTATCAATTATCATTCATCATCAGTACTTGAAACAATCAGTTTGTCGGAATAACTGCATAATGAATATTGTAGGAGAGTGTTGACAAATCTGCCAGTTAATTTGAATTAAAATTAAAATTTCTACAATTTCTTCAAACTTTTGACTTTTAAGGAATTTTTCTGTAGGATGTTGAGAGCGGGGATGATGATACAGCTGATGAGGACACAGACTAATTATTTCGCAGATTTTCTTATTATTAAATCTCGAATATGTTAATTTGTTTTATAAATTTCATGGATACTGTGATTGGACCTTAGTTTTATTAATTATACTTAATTCAAGTCCATCATACTTCATTTACAATAATCATACTTCGTTTAAGTTGATCATGCTTAATTTACGTTGATCATATTATTCTGTAGCAACATTGACCAAAGATATGTGGATAATACTAAAGATGGTGATACATTGATCATACTGAAGATACATTAATCATTATAATGTTATGTTGATCATACAGTAGATACATTTATCATAAAGTAGATATGTTTATCATAGAGTAGATACATTGATTATTCTAGCAACACGTCTGTCATACTGAATATACGTTTATTTTACTATAGATACGATGATCATAGAGAAGATACATTTATCACAGAGTAGATTTGTTGATCATAGAGTAAATACATTATTCATATAGATATGTTCAGTGTTTCGGATCCGGATCCGAGGTAACTTTTGATTCTGTGAATCGGATTTTCCCTATTAAATGTTATGCAAGGTTATAATTTATAAACTATAGTAATCCTAAAGTTAAAAATGTCGTCATTACTATTATATAAATGTAAAAATTAAATTATTAAAGATAATTTTGAAAAATTTTCGTCATGTAAATAATACATTTACGAACCATTTTGATTTATTTATTCCATGGTTTTGGTTAATTTTTGGCGCTACCCGGATCCATATCAACGTTTCCTGATACGGATCCGGATCCGGATCCGACCAAATGATACGGATCCGACCGGATCCGGATCCGGATCCGAAACACTGGATATGTTGATCATTCTGTAGACATGTTAATCATTATGAAGCCATGTTGACCATAGTAAAGATATGTTGATCATACTGAAGATACGAAGATACGTTGATCATACTAAAGATACGTTGATCATAACAAAGAAACGTTGATTTTACTGAAGAAACGTTGATCACACTTTAGATACATTGATCATATTAAATATACGTTTATTATACTGAAGAAACGTTGATCACACAGAAGATACATTAATCATATTAAATATACGTTTATTCTACTGAAGAAACGTTAATCACACAGAAGATACGTTGATCATATTAAATATACGTTTATGAAGCTGAAGAAACGTTGATCACGCTGAAGATATGTTCATCATATTAAATATACGTCTATTATACGGTAGAAACGTTTTTCATACTGAAGGTACATTTATGATGCATTAGATACGTTGATCATGCATAAACATACTGATATTTCATTTTATTGGAATGTTGTATGATGATCTTGTTAAGATTGAGTGGAAAGATGAAGATGAAGACGAAGAGGAAAAATTAACCAATGGTGTTAATCAAATCAGTATAAATGGAATGGATGAGAATACCAAAGGAATTCCTAAGGTAACTATTCCACAATATTCCTTTCACAGTATTCTTTCAACTCTTACACAATATACTTTTAACTCTTCCACAATAAGTCTTCCTCAAAATACTTTCGACTCTTCCACATTATTCTTTTAACTCTTCCACAACATACTTTTAACTCTTCCACATTATTCTTTTAACTCTTTAACAACATACTTTTAACTCTTCCACAACATACTTTTAACTCTTCCACAACATACTTTTAACTCTTCCACAACATACTTTTAACTCTTCCACAACATACTTTTAATGTACTTTTTAACTTTCCAAAATGTACTTTTTAACTTTCCAAAATGTACTTTTTAACTTTCCAAAATGTACTTTTTAACTTTCCACAATTTTCTTAACTCTTCCATAATATACTTTTTAATTCTTCCACAATATACTTTTAACTCTTCTACAGTATACTTTAACTCTTCCACAGTATACTTAAAACTCTTCCACAATATACTTAAACCAAATTATCGATTATTCTAATATCTTCTTTAGTTCTTTTGTGTAACATTATGTACATTTATAGACAGGTAACATGGAAAACACAGTAGTAAATATTAGCATAAAAATCTGTCTCCGTTATAATGACTCAAGTTTTGGACCACACTTCATTCTGCAATCTTGCTGTTAGGCTCGTAACGGCTTTTTCTGTTAAAATATTTAGTTTCTGATCCATTCTCTCTTAGTTTTGAGATTTGAAAGGTAAAAACTGGAATTGTTTAGTTCTGGATGTACGCCATGAAGAACGCCAACGAGGATGCCTTGATGGGGATGGTGGAGCCTCACGACGAACCAGTCCTGGAGTATCTTAAGGAAGGCTTAAGCTTCTTTTATTTTACACTTGCTTCAGAAATAAAAGTTTTGTTTTAAGCGTGCCAATTGTAGGAGGAAGGGAACCCCCAGACGCCATAAGCCTCTGCTATGCAGACACGAGCTTCCCAGATATGCTTGGCAGACCGAGCCTCTGCTATGCAGTAATTAGCATGCGCAATACATCAACATGTGCCTGTGAAATACAGAAGTTTTTTTTGAACTTGTGTTTAAGTTTAAATAAAGGATTTTTGCAAATTTTCGACGAAGTGGCATAAGATGTTTCTCAAAGATCAGAAGTATTTATCAATTATCATAAATTGTGCCTAATTATGACTAATAAAAAAGGTGGTTGAAACTTAAAACAGTTTTTAACGAAAAGGCAAAAGTTTGAATTTCATTTCATCTATTTTTCTTGGATGTAATTGCGAGACCTCTATTTGTAGTTAAAATAAATCTAGAAAATTTGGATAACTTTTTTTAATTCTTAACATTTTTCAAAAAAGGTATTGTTTAAATCAAAGATTACAACAAAACTGCAGAAATATTTCTCCAAATATCTTCCTTTCTGCGTAAGAAATGTTTAAAGTTTTAATATAAATCTTATAAACCACTTTATGAGTCCATATATGTTTCTAATCATGACAATCAAAGAACAACTCTAATCTTTAGTAAAATTCTTATGCCACTTCGTCAAAATAAATTGTTAAAATTTTTCATCACTCATAAAAACCAAGTTTTAAAAAAAACTGTGCTGTACGGTGGAGGCTCGTTTACTGCATAGCGGAGNGGGGGGGTGTTGTAAATTTCTTAATAAATTCCCTCCTTGAGATTTTTACATTGTGTTGTAGACTGGGAAGGATGTTACTAAGACTACTGTGAAAGTAAAGAAGGTTAAACCAAGAAAGGGAGGAAAGGGAAGCCCAGAGAAGGATCTAACAAAGGTACATATTAAAATATTCTTATTCATTATTTTCTAAAACTTTTTGATAAATTGAGTTGGGCTCATATCTAATAATTAAAGTTTCTGGCATTTTTCGCCATTATTATAAATCAATTTTTTTATGGATAAATTACCTTCGAATCCAGTTTCACTTCAACTATGGAAAATCTTTTTCTAATAAACTACATTGAAGTTATGTAGCCTTTAATAATGGGATACCTCCCAGTCACCCACAAGTGAGGCTTTAATGACTTTCTTCTAAATGTTGACCTAGATCTTTTTCCTGAAAAATGACTCGGTATTTTCCACAC